CCTGGTCTGTTTTCCCCACATAGTTTCCTAGAATATAACAAACATAACTGAGTGGTAAGTGGCACATTATCACCAGCCCCTGAAATGCCTAGGCATCAGTCTCTTGGTTTGAAAATCAAGGACTTTAAATTTCCATTGAGGGTATCTCACTTCATGAATGAAAATATAGTTGTATTGGATGTGGGGGAATAAACATGGCATCACAGACAGTGATTAGACATGAGTACCATAGATGAAGGTCAAGAACAGACTAAATTAATGTGCATTGATCTGGTCAAAGTACTATTGATTTTGAGAGTAGGAGTTTCCTAGGTAGGGGCACACAGTAGCCTTCAGGTTTCTGGAATTGTTCTTCATCTTGAGTTTTGAGGGGAAAGGGTCACAAGTAGACTGTATATGCAAATATGTGTCAACCTGAACACCTGTGATTTGTATACTTACTGAACATTGCATCTCAATACACAGAAAATAAACTTAAATAGGATGTCAATAAACTACAGTTGACTAAACTATATCTTTGAAAATCAAGTTTTCTGTAAGCATGTTTCTCTGTATGTTAGTTTGTAGTTATAAATCTTAATCCTCTAGAAAAAGGACCCTGAAGCTTAGCCTATGCATCATGATGGGACAACCATAGATTTGAACTCCAATGATAGAACCTGGTATAGTAGAGGCTGTGGTGATTTTGAGATTCCCCCATGTGGTGGTTTGAATGAGAAATGCCCCCGCATAGGCTCAAGTATTGGAACACTTGGTCTTCAGTTGGTAGCACTGTTTGGAGAGGTTTAGGAGGTACATTTGGCCTTCCTGGAGGAAGTATGTCACTGGGGGTAGACTTTGAGAGTTCATAGCCTGGTCCTACTTCCAGTTCGCTCTCTCTGCTTCATGTTTACAGTTCAAGATGTGAGCTCTCAGCTTCCTGATGCCGCCTTTATACCTACCATTGCTCCCCTGCCTCTCCATCATGATGGGCTCATAACCATATGGTTATGGTCCCTCTGGAACCATAAGCCAAAAATACCTCTTCTTTCTGTTAAGTTGCCTTGGTCGTGGTATTTTCTTACAACAATAGAAAAGTAACTGATACAGAAATAAGTATATGATGAGGTAACCATAGGTTTGAACCTCAGAGTTAGAAACTGGTACAATAGAGGCTGCAGTGATTTTGAGAGATTTCTCCCATTAATCTAAAATCTGAAAAACCTAACTGACCCCTCACCCTGAACATTCTATTCTCCCTCTTTGGCCAATGGAGAAGGACCTAAGTTTGACTTTGTTATTGGTAATGGTGGGTTTCCTGACACCCCTTTCTGATTATGGCACTTGTGATTCAACATGATAACCACTGAGTAAGGATCAAGAGGCCTTCACTGTTATCAGGTGGTGGATGCACTGCACAGTGGAGATTAAAATGCAGACCCTGGAGGATCTAGACACCTTGGAGAAAGAGTCTCCACTACTCAACTACAGAGGATGACATTTGTCTACCCAGCAATGTTACTTATATTGAACACAGAATCTGGCCAGTAAAAACCTGCAGAAAGTTTATGTTTGATCCTCAGTGAGAAACCCTTCACCTGCAGGGGTTCTCACATGCCCCTCTATTGGCTAAACTAGTAATTTACACCAAGAAAGGTCTCTACCTGCCACCATTTTTCTTGCTGCTGTGAAAGTACGAGAACTATTTAAAATGAATCATCATCCAGAAGTTCAAGAACAACAAAGGACATCCAGTCCAGTCCGCAGAAACAATTAACACTTCTGCCCTGGTTAAAAAAAAACAAGTCAGGGGGCACATTCAGCTGCCCAAGAGGACGAGCATTGCCTGTAATGTCAAGGGTAGAAAACAATCCAGGGGCTTGCAATCCCAAGAAGTACAAGCAGCAGCCCTGGCTACTAGGATACTGAATGTGAGGAAAGGAAGAGCTTTGCTGAGTCTCAAAGATTTGTCAAGGTAAAGGACAAGCATTGCTTCACATTGGGTCCCCAAGTGTAACCTAGTGACCACAGTGATAGGGACACTCCAGCAGCCTGGGCACCCATAACTGAAACTTTGCACATCTTCATGGATATTTTCAATTTTATGTTGTTTGCAATAAAAAAGAAGTTAGGGCTCCATGTCTTCCTTTTTCAAAGACATCTTAGTCCTTTGTGGGCTAAGACACCTCACATTGCCCATAGAAGATGGGACTCTGGTGCAAGCACAGAAACCCCTGAGCCAGCCACCTCTGTTCAGAAGAGCAGGGTCAAGTAGGAACATGGCAACCTCCAACAAAGACCTGTGGATTGGAAGGAGGAAGCTATTCTCCCAAGTGTGGGGGGATAATTTCATGTGGCACTTTAACCTGCTGATATCTGCCCAGGCTTATTCTGGTCTTGGGATGAGTGGAGAGCATCTCCTACCTTCAAATAGATTTTACTGAGGCTTTCTCTCAGTAATGTGGGTGATGTAAACAATGTCCCCTCGTGCTCTCATCTCCTCACAACCTTATCCTCATTCCAGTGGCACTCACTGAGTAACAGAAAGAAGGCTAGTGGTCTCCTGTAAACACCTGACTCCAACACCATGAGCAGAGGTAGGTGGTCACAGGCTGCCTCACTCAGGAAGGGAAAAGTTGGTGAGGTCTCACACCCTAAATAAAAGCCAAACAAGGGGTATCACTTTCAAATAGGCCAGGCTTTAAGGAGAGATCAAATCTCTACCACCTAGCTAAAAGAACTGTATAATTCTTTATACTCAAGTAGGATTTCAGTGTCTTTTAAATCTCATGTGGCAGGCCTGAAAACCTGACATGACACCAGTTTTTTTTTTTATTATTTTAGGTATATGAGTGTATTGCCTACATGTATGTAAACACACCCGTGTCATGCCCATGAAGGTCAGAAGAGGGCATTGGATTCCTCTGGAACTGGAGTTACAGGCAATCATTTGCTACCATGTAGGTGCTTGGAATTGAACCCAGGCCCTCTGCAAGAGCAGCCAGTGCTCTTAACCACTGAGCCATCTCTCCAGCCCTATGTTTTATAATGATCTAGGTAGATACAGGAGTGAGGAACTGGCATATAGCCTCCAAAGTTCACCTAACATACCAGAGTCACTTATTGAACCATCTTCAGTGATTATTGTTGTTCTTTGGGGGCATAAATTATTCATTGACTATTTGGGAAAAAAAGATCAGAAAGTCAATGACTCTGGCTGGCTATTCAACAGCAAGGAGAGCCTAAACACAGAAGTAAGCATCATCTTGTATGTGTAAGAGTCATTTCAGGTTTCAAGGTGAGCTTCTTACAACACTGATGAGTCCAAACTCGGCTTCTGTCCATTTCATTGCTCTGAAGAGGATCTGATCCACTGGAGCAAAGAAACGAAAAAAATAATGAAGAGTATTGGATTCTTTCTATTTGGGGCCTCTGGACCATATGTTCTGTTTGCTCCAGGATGGGAGACATGGGAAAGGTAAACCTAAGGGTGGGTTTTATAATCCCATTGTACTGGCTAAGCACTTGGCACATGAGGAACTGTTGCAGTGAGTGGGAACAAGGCCTTCACCAGGAAGCTGGAGACTGCCATCACTCAAAGCTCTAACAGAATAAACTACAATCACTTTTTAAAACTTACCAAAAATACCTCCTTGCAGATGTGTTCTTGTATTAATATCTTAATGGCCTCTAATGGTGTCACAGAGACACCAGGAACTCAGGAGCAGCTCTGAGCGTGCTGATGAGTCAACCTTTCAAAGAACAGTCAGTCATATAAGTTCAGCAAACCCCAACTGGGGTAATATGGCCTTCCAGGATACATGTAACTGAAGTATTATTGTTTCCAGAGATCTGAGGGAAAAAAGGGAATTTCACTTAATTTTCTAGTCAGCTTTCTATTGCCATATAAAACACTGACCAAAACCAACTTGGGGAAGAAAGGGTTTTTTGGCTTATGCTTCCTGATCACCATTAAGGAAGCCTGGGTAGGAACCTCGAGGCAAGAAATGATCTGAAGGCTGCTTACTGGCTTGCTCCTCTTGGCTTGCTCTGCTACTTCTTTTATGCAGCCCAGGCCCACCTGCCCAGGGGTGGAACCACCCACAGTTGGCCAGGCCCACCTACATCATTCAGCAATTGAGAAAATGCCTCACAGACACGAGCACAGGCAATTCTGATGGAAGAAATTCTTCAGTTGAGGTTCTATCTTCCTAAGTGTGTCAAGTTGAAAACTGAAGTTTAACCAGGACACCTAACCACTTGTCATGAGGCTTTACATTGTAGAGAGAACCCAGGACTCAGTAATACCATGTTTAGAACCCTCAGAATAAGCCTTGGAATTCAGTGAGCTCAGCTGGTAGAATGGTGGTGGGAGGCACTGAGCCACTGAGCCTCAGCTCTCATGGACCCTTAGGCTTCCTCAGAGGCCACCAGAGGACTGCTCAGTCAGTGATGTATGGCGATGTATGGAAAATGCATCTCTCAGATCTAGAAAGTTCACTCCTATAGTTATGAACATTTCCAACCATGGGTTTTTAAAAAAAAGGGGAAAAAAGACTAATGGAGTCAAGGTTTTCCTCATTGATTATAGCAATGACTTTGTTTGGGACAGAAGCTGAAATTCATGAAATAAGGTACTTGGAATAATCGTTATTCTCTTTATCTGAGGTAATTAATTTCCATCCTGAGTCTTCAACCATCTCCCAGAACACTTGAAAGGCAGACTCCTGAACTTCAGACCAAAGATTCTGATCCAACAGGTGTAGGAGATGCCAAGGGATCCGAATTTCTATGAGGACCCAAGGAACTGTGTCTGGAAATAGCTCAAGCTTACTCATTACCAATTGCAGGATTGGTTGTGCCTCAGATGAGGAGCCAGGCTAACACCAGTATGTTCCTAAGCTCCCACATTGACTTTCGACATGAGTGTCTGAGATCTCCCTCCCAGCCAACTCCACACAGTCCTTTTGACAGACATACACTTCACACCAAATCAACTCAGCATATTTTTATTGGGCACCTAAGGTAGTCAAGGCACAGTACCAGGTGCTATAGGCACAATGACAGGAAGGCTAGGCCTTTCCCTGAAGAGGCTTACAATCTAGTAGGGAGAAAGACACACTCACAGTTAACAAAAATACAAGGCAGAATGAGGTGAGTCCTATACTGAGGTAAAAACAGTGGGAAAGCAGGGGACAGAGAAAGACAAATACATCACCTCAGGCAATCAATGCAAGGAATGACCTTTCAGCCAGTACAATTCACACAGGAAGAACTATAGAGGATGCTTCAGGCAGAGGTGTTGAGGAAGGCAACGGCAGTCAGTTCAGGGGGCAGAGCTGTCTGCCTTGACTGTAGTAGAGAGTGCTAAACGGTTAACAGAGGGAGCCAAAGCTAGAGATTGTAGAGGAAAGCCAGATGTAAGGCTCTCCTTAGAGTAAGGGATCAGACTTCATTCTGTAGACAATGGGGAGCCACGGAATGTGAGATAGTGAAGGGCATGATCTCATTTCCTCAATTCCAGGTGCACTTCTGTGAGTCACACAGGGTTGCTTTATTATTGGCTTATTATTGTTAATTTTATGGGTCCACACCCTCTTGGGCTCAAAGCAGAAGCCAGCCCAGTCCCTGTGGTCACACATGCTTTCTAAGGCTGTACAAAGCTAGGAAGTAGTGTCCTTGCTAGGTAAACTTTGATCTCACTTGACAGTCATGCACCAACTCCAGAGAAAAAGAAATTAAGCTTTCCAGAATCACTTGAGAGTAAGGGGCAGGACACAAGGAAGGTACTTAGACAAAGCAGACTTTGTCACCTAAGCATGGCAAGGGTAAGCTCAGAGAAAAACAGGACTGCCTTGGAGATGCAAGTGGCAAAATTAGCATCATCCTTATTAAACTATCTCCTGGAAGGATTTCCAGTTTTCACCCATCCAGCTCTCCAGCCCTCTGGGGTGCAGAGAGCCTATAGCCTGACTCACTGTGATCAGTGGATGGGGTCTCTAGGCACCTACACATGGACAGTTCTCTGCTGAAGGAAGCTCCTACAATCCTGCCTAACTATCCAAAGAAGAGGGGGAATGACGCCCACCCCCACCTGGGCCACCCCAGCCTGGAAAGGGATGTGAAGCCACTGCCGTCCAGGTGGACACGGCAATGCTGGTCAGCGAAGGCTCACCCAGAATTTCCACACCAGTTGAAGTCGATGCTTGGGTGGGGAGCACAGAGGAAGCTGAAGTCACAGTGGGGTTCCCGAGAAGAAATGCTCCCGGGGTGCTGGTGTGCACCTCTGGGCCCGACCCCACAGGGCCCCCGCTTCCATTGCTGATGGTCCACAGGCATGGATAGGGGCTGTAGAGACAGAGAGATGGAGATCTTTGATGGCTCCCCAGTAGAGGATTGCCACCTAACACGCAACTGCACACTGCCCAGAGGGACAGTGGTAGGAAGAGAACTTCTGGTCATGGCTATACATTTAGCTGTGACAAAGACCAGTCATATTTCCACAGAAACGTCAAGAGATCCAGCAAGGTATAGTGAATAAGAATAAAACCAGTTGTCCTTACAAAATAAGAATAAAATACGCTTATTTTATTTCATGGGTTCTGGTGCTGGCCCTGCCACTAACAAATTACTCAATTTTAAACAGCCTTTCATTTCTCTGAAATTTCCTTGCAACCTGTCTAAACTAGGTAAAAACAGTGAAAGGAAGAGAGCTAAACTGTATAAGCTGTGTTATGACCTCTCCCTGGCCAAGGCAGGCGATGTGATACAAGCAAGACATAGTCTCCAGAACCCTTTGGTATGACTCCCTGTCTGCCACTTACTGAGACATTGGTCAAATTACTTCATATCCCTGAGCCTCACCTTCTATCACCTCAAGAAGGAGTAACGATTTTGCAAACCCCAGTGGTTGTTAAGACTATATTAAAGGTGAGTAAATGGAGCCAAGAATGTGGTGCTTAGTAAGTGTTTGCTATCATCGCTATATTCCTGGTCCTCACCTCTCAACTCTTATCCCTGGGCACAAAGTCTGGGGAGATGGACCAGGTTTTTTGTTTTTTGTTTTTTGTTTTTTTGTCATCTCCGTTTCCATCGCCCAGGTTCAAAAACTTGGTTGTTCACTGGAATCGCTTAGTGCGTTTTTGAGAAACTGGTACCTTGATCCTAACCCCTAGGTCTAACACACAGTCTGGGTATCTGGATTTACTAAAGCTTCCTAGCTGATAGAAGGGTAGAGCCACATTAATATACAACTCAGGTGCCCATGACTACAGTTGGAACAGTAGACTAACGGCCAGCGTTCTGAGTCCTAGTCATCTCTAAAGTTACAACTTTTTAGAGTTCCTGCATTATTGAATGTTGCTACATTATTAAATCCTGCTTAATAATTAATATTTTATTCAATGATAGTGCTAAACACATCTGTTTTTCTCTGAAAAAACCCTTTTACACTCAGAAAAGGGTTAAACATACCAACAATGAAACCAGAGGCGGTAATCCCACTCTCCACCCTCTCTCTGCCTTGCTTCAGGAATTCAGACCTCGTTGGGCCAGAGAAACCTGAGGAAGTTCATCTGCCTTGTTCCCTGAGTCACACCACTTGCTGGGACTCTGGCCCCAGCCTCCAGAAGAATCTCTCCCACAACATCCCTTCAGAGACCTTTCAGATGCTTGTAGTACCGGTGGGAAAACCCCAGGCTCCGAGTTACCCTGTCTACCATGTGATCTTCAGGGAGCTTTTGAGCTTTTGTTTTTCATCAAGAAAGTATGGATTTTAATTCCTGCCTGAAGGAGTTTTTGGGTGCTAGAGATGACTGACATAAGAATCTAGTGTAGAATTCGGCATATGACCATAACTTCCCGGGTACCCTGAGCTTCATTCTCCTTACTTCATAGTGTAGCCCAAATCAGTGCTCTTCCATAGATCCTCCAGGCCAGGACTGTCCAACAGATGGCTCAGCAGTTAAGAGTGCTTACTGCTCTTACAGAGGACCTAAACCCAGTTCCCAGCACACAAGTCAGGAGGTTCACAACTACCTATAACTCCAGCTCCAAGGAAACTGAGGCCCCCTCTGAGTCTCTATAGGCACCTGTACACACAAGACATATACTCACAGAGACATCACACACACACATAAATAAAAAACATAAATAAAATGTGAACCACAAGCACCAGCCATGTGTGTATGCTTAAATTTTCTAGTAGTTATATTTTTAAAAGGGGCAAAAATTAATAATATCTTATATAACTTAAAATATTCAAGATAGTATCATTGCTGGGCTGGAGAGATGGCTGGGCAGGTTAAAGTGCCTGCTGTTCAGGGCTGATGACCTGACTTTGATCTCAAGAACCCAAGCAAAGAGCCAGATATGACGGTGTGCATCTGTAATCTCAGCACTTCTACAGCAGAATGGGAAGCAAAGACAGGAGAACTGGCTGGAAGTTCACAGGCCATCTAGCCTGAAGTGCAGAGAGGCAGAAACAAGAGAGACCTCACCTCAAAAACAAGTGGAAGCAGAGAATTATTCCTGAAAGTTGTCCTCTGACCTCCACACACATGCTGTGGTATACACATACAATACACACACACACACACACACACACACACACACACACACTATATTTTTAAAGACTATTAAAAATATCCTTGCAAAATGTAGTTATATAAAAAATGTTAGTCATACTTTTATTCTTTGTTTCACACTGTCTTCAGTGTCCTGTGTGTTACATTATAATTGCTCTGCATCTCAGCCTGGACTGGTTGTAATGCAGGTGGCTGTCAACCTTGATGGGTAGTGACTGCTGCTGTGGACACAGCTCAACACCCCTGTAGGCAGCAGCAACACTAGGAGCCTGGTAGAACTGCTGATCTCTGGACCCCAACCCATACCTACTAACCATATTCTCCATTTTAATGGTGTCCCCCAGTAGTTCTAACACACATGATGAAAGCCCCACTTCTGTCCAAAGACCATCATCACATGAGTTCTCTTATGTTTTGTAGACCTTCAAACATGATGTCTCCCCAAGTCCCATCATTCCATTTTGAATCCCTGTTAGACCTTCTTCAAATTCCTCATATCCATCCTGAACACCACAGCTGGCATTTACATAGAATGCCACTGCTCACAGAGCATCTTAAAGCATTTTATCATTTTGATGCTCACCACAGATCTGCAGAGATCACTGTTGTTTCTCTGTTAAAGATAAGAAAGCTGAAGCTCTATAAGGCTAAAAAAATTGCCTAAAGCTACGCTAAAAGTGTAGCCCAAAGTGTAGCCTAAAGTCACTAAGAGGGTAGAGTTGGGACTCAAACGCCTATCTTTCAGGCTTCAAGGTGCCTCTTCTTTCACTCCACTATGGTAAAGTTCAGATTTCCAGAAGTCAGACCTAAACACTAGTCTCTGACATGAGACATAGATAGACACAGTAGTACACACATCTGTAATCTCAGCACTCCTGTAGGGAGATGGGGAGTGGAAACAGGAGAATCCGGGGAAGTTCTTAGGCCACCTAGCCTGATGTACACAGCAGTGAGCGGCAAAGAGAGCCTGTCTCATACAAATTGGAAGGGAGGACCAACCCCAGAGGTTGTCCTCTGACCCCCCTCACACTGTGACCACAATGGTATACTCACACTGTGGTATGCATGCATCTACACACACACATACACACACACACACACACACACACACACACACACACAAACACACACACACACACACACACACGATTTTTAAAAACATAAAATTCTGCCCCTATAAAAAGAAAGGTTGGGGCTGGAAAGATGGCTCAGAGGTTAAGAGCACTGGCTGCTCTTGCAGAGGACACAGGTTCAATTCCCAACACCCACATGGCTGCTAACAACTGTCCATAACTCCAGTTCCAGGAGATCTGATGACTCTTCTGACCTCCTTGGGCACTTCATGACACGGGTGCACTTATACGCAGACAATTCACTCTTACACATGAAACAAAATAATAAAAAAGGTTTTTTAAAAAAGAGCTTATCACTGCATAGGTGCTGTCCTACTGCCCATTCTCCAGCTACAAAAAATCCATTGTTTTCACCATCACTCCTAATAGCTTAAATGTAGGTAGTTTATACTGATCCATCCTGAAAGGAATGCACGTGAGTCCCCAGTGCTACAGGAAACCTCCAAGTCCACCAATGAGCAAATTGCAGGTGTTGGTCTTACCTGGGCCCTGGATTGACTGGTCCGTTGGTGTGAGGTACAGACAGAAGGCTGGCATGGGGTGTGGACGATAAGGAAGTCCAGCTGTCAGGTCCCGAGAAAACTTGCAGATTATTGCTTGAGCTTTCTATCAGATTCACTTTGGAGAAATGACAACAGTTCAATTGGCAGGCCCTTTAAACATGGTGACCGGTGGCATTATCCTAGGGCAAAATATAACTGTAGCTTATGCTACAGGTACCAGCAGTTTGTTGGTAGCTTCTAAGGGAAACAGATTTTAGAAGAAAGAATCCTAGGCTCGTTGAATGCCAGCTACATGCCAGGTGCTGCTGTTAGTCTATAATCTTCAAAATAACTTGCCCTCACCATTTTAGAGATAAGGCTCAGGGAGAGGGGTCAGTTTACCCTTTGTGACACAGATCTGCCTATCTCCATCATGTTCACTCACCATTAAGAAAGAATCATAACAACATCCCCTCAAACAAAACCCAAGAAGCACCAAGGCCCAGGGATTTCTGAGGTCCAGGACTTTATTCTCTGTAGAGATCCCAGAGTAGATTTAAACTTTTCAAGAGAAGTATCTTCTCATGGGAAAAAAAACAGCTACACAGCCTCACTTGAGTGGGCTATAGAAACTTGGATACATGGAAGCAGAGAGTGGGGAGAGGTGAGGGAAGTGAAATATCAGTCAAAGGTACAGACACATAGGTATGTGGGATGAGTGAGTTCAGAGATCTAGTGCACAGCATGTGAACTAGAATTAATACTGCATTGTGAGCTGGGGATATAGCTCAGTTGGTAAAATGCTTACCTAGCATACATAAAGCCCCAGATTTGATCCCCAGCACTGTATAAACCAGGCATGATGGTGCACCTCTGTAATCTCAGCACTTGAAGCTGGAGGTAGGAGGATCAGACATTCAAGGTCAGCCTTAGTTACATAATTTGAGGCCATCCTGGGCTACATGAGATGCTGCATAATCAATAATAATAAATAATAATAATAATACATTCTGAAAATTTACTAAGGAAGTCTATTTCAGGTGCTCTACCCTGAAAA